TGAATCGCACGTTATAAAATAAAACAACGCCGATGGCTGAGCCCGCTTGCGAATGTATATACGTATTTTCTCTTTCCCTTCGCGCGCGGCTGCTGCATCCACGCGGCTCTCCGCTAGTGGCACATGTCGTTAACTGCACATACATACGAGCAATAGACGCGATTGCGCGCGGGGGGCGATCCCCTCGCCTCTCGCACGAGAGCAATGCATTATCTAATAATCGTTATATACACACATGCATGCACTTGATTGATCTTATTCAAGGTTGTCTTTATTGGTTCATGGGCGCATTTAAATGTCGTCGTATCTTCGCGCGAATCCGCTATTTTTTTTCTTTTCCTTTTGTTTTTTTCGAAATTATTTCTTTTTTTAATTGTTTTGCCTTCTTACACGTGTCGTCGTTATACGGTATGATGCACCGCTATAATGCACCACGACACATCCGCGTATCTTCTCTCGCGCATTTTATTCTCTCTATCTCTATCCGCGACTATTAACGTACAAATACAAATATTATACGCGATATCCCATCCGCATGTCGCGCAGCTTTTGTAGTACAGTACATCAACGTCGATTGATCGTCACTCGCGAAGACGAAGAAACTCCGTTAGTTATAGCGCATAGTTTCGATCGCTGTCGTAGCTCCTTTTTTTTCTTTCTTTCTTAGCTTCTTCTTGGGTGCTTTTCTTTTTCGCTCTCGTGCGATCGTCGCGTTTGCAATTCCGTGCACGCACGAGAGCGCGCGACACTTAATACATACATACATATAGTTATTGCGCACTGTGTACGGCATGTGTATCGCACATGTGAGAGCGCATTAATTAACGCTATGTGTTATTGTACACCAACGAAAATGAAGAGAGAGAAAAAAAGCCCACGTGCAGTTTGGTAAAGCATTTCGAATTTTCACATCGACTTTTGTCATCGTGAACTCTTTATAACCCAAATTTATTCATCGTATAAAAGGCGATGAAAGCCGAGATGACGACCGATATTGCACTTTATCGCGACACATCATCATCATCATCATCATTGGCTTGTCAATATCTCTCGCATTATACATTTTATATTCATTATATATATATATATCCCCGGCTGCCTTATCGTCGCCTCGCGAGTCGTGTCATGTCGCGAGCCCCAGAGCCACGCCGTTGTATGCTACATAGTCTCACTTCACGCGCGCGCGCGCACGAGTTTGCCAAAAGCAAAAAAAAAATTTGTTTTTGATAATCATCGTACAATATTGTACCGTACGTGTCTCTCTTCTCTTTCTGTTGCCGATGGCTGCGCCCGCGACGGCCAAGACCGATCGTGCCAATGTGTGTAGAAATCAGCGCGGACAGATGTAGGCAAATAACGATTGACACATTACGTTATCGCCCGGCCCGTGTAATAATACTATAATATATTACTTAATGGGGACTGGAGCAGTTGTTCAAAATAATAAAAAAAATCGTGTGCATAGACGATTATCTATTCTAACGATTGTGTTCGGCTATTTTAAGAATTTCTCGTTCGAAATTCGGGTCACCACTTAGGATACTTTCTCCGTAGGTAAATATAATTTTTGGGCGCGAAGCCGTGACACGCAAATTTACAAAATTTAGCGCAACCAGAGCTACCTCGTTATAATAATTCACATTTGTGTATGTGTATGTCGATTAATTCGCTCGAGTCGATCATGCGCTACTAATCCGATTAATCCGCGTTTAAAAATCATCTGCTTGATTCAAGAAATTAATTTTTTTTTTTAATTTGCTCCGCATCTTAAGTATACACACGCGTGCGTGTGCTCATTTTAAAAGTCGAAGAAATCGTGCGGGCCCTATAATTACCTAATGTCTGATGACAAAAAAAAACATCGAAAAAGTAGAGTAATCACACACTTATTATAACGACCTTACTCTTTGACCAAGAAGAAGAGAAGAGCAGACTTTAGATTAGTCAAATATTTGAATTTGACAATATATGGTTGCGCGTGAAATTATTATTTCGTATGTATTAAATATTAAATGTCGATGTCAAAGTGTACTTTAAAATCTGGAATAAACCAGATAATCTCTTCTCTAACAAAAAAAATAATGAGAATAAAATATCGAGATAAATCATCTCAACCCATAAACAAAAAAGTAATAACATCAAAATTTTGTATATTCTGTATACAATATGATATATAGGCTGATGATAAGTGCTTAGGCGGCTTGTCACAGCTCTATATACAACCAGACTGTATGGCTTTTTTCTTCCCGAAGATTCTTTCGAAATTTTTTTTGTCACTTGTGTTTTTTTTTTTTTTTTCAAGTATATGCTCAAACACTTTATCTCGACCCCCCCTCGCGCGCCTGTTTACACACACTAGTATACCGTCTTTCCAAAAAAACTATAAGAAATCCCCGTAATCCTCCGTGCGGCGCACGACGAACTTGACCTCTGACCCTCGCGCGGTTTTAGTCCAAAAAATCACGGTCACGCACTAAACACACACGTATTTTTTGTATACACAGCGTTTAATCGACCTCTCTCCCAAAAAAAAAAAAAAAAAAAAAAAAAAAAAAAAAAAAAAAAAAAAAAAAACAATCGCAAGTTTTTTTTCGCGTCAAAAATCACGATCGCGATTATGTACTTTTAATCCATCGCGAGCTTTTACGAGTCTCTCTCTCTCTCGCGCGCCGCGGAAAAGTCTATCTCTTGTATAGCCGCCGCGCCGCCGTATACTTACACGGCTCTTTTTATCTAATCTTGCCCGTAGCGTGCGGCTCGGTCGAGCAAACTTTTTTTCTCTTTCATTCTTCATTCCGCATCGACTTCTCATTCTTTCTTTTTTTCTTTCTCGAAAAATATACATCGGTTTCTATATTTACGCGCCTATGTACATTGGATATCACGTATATACACGCGGTCGTGTGTACGTACGCACGAGAGATGCACGCGTATTGGCGCGTGCTTTTCGCAATTTTTTTTTCTCCATAATCGCGCGAGAGAGGAAGTTAAATCGACGCAACGTAAGACGAATTAGAATCCATGATCGGATTCAATGATCTTCGTTCGTCGTGAAGATGGAAGGAAAGGCTCGTCTCGGATCTTCTCCGCCCACCTTTCACCGATGAGAAATACACTGATCACTCGGTAACCGCACGAGTAACGTCTAACGCGCGATGCCCGACGTCCCGTAATGAGAGAATGAATGTACACGGCCAGAGATTGACTAAATACTGACGTATATATTACGGCATATTATTATGCTACGTGTATAATATAAGAAGCTGCAAGAAAGAAAAAGAGGCGTTAAATACACACAAACATGCACGAGAGCAACAGCAGCAGTAGTTTGTGGCGCTCGATTATATTTGACACGCGCGCGTGTCTAATTAATATACCGAGTAATTGTGTGAACTAGATGCTACACAAGCCTGTGGTTTTAAATTCTGTACCTAATTGCGGGCGGATTAATGAAAAATCGTTAATCGACTCCATATGTGTGACTTCGTCTTTTCAGTGGAACCACAAGCATTGTCCACGAGGAACCACATGCCTTTTGTTCCTCGACCACTAAATACAATGATATCTCTCGCCATATCATATGACACCTTTTTGTCACGCATCTAGTGGCTTCTTTTGTCTATTCGTCATTTTGAAAAGGAAAAAATTCTTGGAAACGCCCGCCTTCATTTTTTTTTTTTTGGATCTCTAACACGATACTCTCCGGTCAAGTCTTGATGTATACAATCGATCGCATACGGCTAAAAACTAACATAATAAAACGATTTTTTCTTATAAATTATCATATGCATATAATTTTACGTGCATACGATATGCAACCCGCTGCGTGCATGTGTAGCTTTTCCGAAAATCCTCTTTACGAAATCTCTTGTTTCCTGCGCCGATCCGCGCTGTTGTTTTTCTATATCTCGTTTTCTTTTTTCTTTTAAAAGGTTTCAACCTCGAGAACTCAACATACTCTCTCACACACACACACACACACTCGCAAGCGTACTTAATTCTTTTTCCTCGGCTACGTATATATGCGCGCATACATAATTATTTACAACAATATAAGAGCGCGTCTCTATTTTTACATTTTTTTTTTTCACTTTCGCACTGCTGCAACACGACGACGACGACGTTGACTATACGCATGCGTGTGCGATGCAATAGAGCGTCGTATTTTGCGAAAGTTTCGTCGCGAGTGCAAAACCACACCTGCATACTAATAGAGCGCTAGAGACAGAGAGAGAGAGAGAGAGGCTCTCTCGTTTGTGCAGCAATATAACGAAGCCGAGCCGCGCCGCGACGTTTCGATGACGACTCGGCATTGGAAAAAAGAAATGGAAAATTGCGCTATGCGATTAAATAATGAAGTGTATTCATATACACTCCAGTGGTACTGCAAAGTGTCTTTTTCGGTTTTTAATTTTCTATATTGGAAAACAATCGAAGGTTGATACCCGAGACGTTCGATTGACATCTCGAGAAAAAAAAGAAAGGCAGACAAGTCCACGAGAGGTGCACCTACGTCGTACGCATTTTCACTTATTAACACGCGCCTGCGCTGCGCTACATAGTGTACGAAACGCGTCTCCGAACGAGGCACACCTCTGGACTTGACAATTCAATGGCTCGGGCACCCGCGCACACACGCTCACATGGAAATGGCGCGCCGTTTATTCGTACTCTCGAGCTTTTTAATTATCTTCCTTTGCTGATTTTCTTCTCTGTCTTTCTCTGTCTTCCTTCCTTTTAATAAAAGTAATACATATAAACTCCAAAAATTACTTTCCATCTCGCTCGGCGCTTTTCTGCGCAAGATATCGAACTTGAGAGAGAGACAGAGAGAAAACGCGGCAATAATCGTCAGTTGTGTGCGTCGTGCAGACTACTTATTATTTATCGTCGCGTCAGTCTCCGTGCGTTTATAAGTGCACGCAGGCTAAAACCGGTCCGGTAAATTAATTTGGAAAAAAATCTCTTACTTCCACTTTCACCAAAAAAAAAAAAAAAAAAAATTAAAAGTAACAACAACGAGACAGCGGCGGCAACAATTAATACCGCGCGCACTCGAAGGCGCGCAATTAAACCGCCCAACCGATCATGCGCCGGGGGGAATTACGTAACTCGTTGGGAGAATCTTTCGTTCGGGATCGGATGCGCTTCGAAATTTCACGAAAAGTATATTATAAACTGTACCCGCGCGCATCGAGGCGTGTGTACACTGTAAAAAATAATTTTAAATTTCAAGTACTTTTAAAGGACATTGATACCTCAATATTCAAGTCGGTATACCTTAATGACCTATTAAGTGATATTTAATTTAAAGTTACAAGAAGTAACCAAAAAAAAAAATAATTTTTACATGAAAAATAAAGTACCAATATGAAAATTAATGCACTGGTACTTATAATAAAATTAAAGAAAATATACTGGATATTTATTTGACTAATACGTGGATTTTAAAGTAAAGGACTTTAAAACTACTGCATATTTTATGAAATTGAATTACAATACTTGCATTAAAAATAATGCAAAATACTTGAAAATTACAAAACTGTCGTGTATTCTAAACTCAGGCAAGTATATTGAAATTTCTACGTACTTTTACTGATATTTCAAGGTACGTATTGTAAAATAAATGCATAGTTAGATATCGCGAGTTAAAATACTCGCATTGAAAATAATGCAAAATACTTGAAAAATACAAAACCGTCGTGTATTCTAAACTCAGGCAAGCGTATTGAAATTTCCACGTACTTTTACTGATATTTCAAGGTACGTATTGTAAAATAAATGCGTAGTTGGATATCGCGAGTTTAAATACTTGCATTGAAAATAATGCAAAATACTTGAAAAATACGAAACCGTCGGGTATTCTAAACTCAGGCAAGCATATTGAAATTTCCACGTACTTTTACTGATATTTCAAGGTACGTATTGTAAAATAAATGCGTAGTTGGATATCGCGAGTTTAAATACTTGCATTGAAAATAATGCAAAATACTTGAAAAATACGAATCCGTCGGGTATTCTAAACTCAGGCAAGCATATTGAAATTTCGACGTACTTTTACTGATTTTTTGAAGTACGAACATAAAAATTATAGTAGCGTTTTAACTTGACTTGACTTGGGATAATCATCGGACATACGTGCACTTGGTTTATATAATCTATCGAATACAAATCAGAATTGTCCCGTGGAGGTAATATAATTCAAATAGCAGCATCGAACATCGTTATGTTCGCGCACGGAAATAGGTAAGTTATAAAATATAATCGTTCAATTTTATTTAAAGGTTATTAATAACGATAATTTTGTACTTTGGGTACTGTAAATGATCTACAAAACTTCTTTGAGTCTTATTCACACTGAAAAAATCCTACGACTGGACAAAAAATTTACCAATATCTTCAAATATTGGGTATTGAGCAAATAAATGTTGATACAGCAGTACAATTTTATTTGTCTGATTTCATCGAAAACATACCATTTCCAGGAAACCATTTTTTTGTATTTAAACATCCATTATAACCCAAAGAAATGAAAACCTTGCAAGCCTTCCTTACACGTTAAACAAAAAGCTTTTTATACTGCATATGTATACAAAAAGGTAATGCAAAAAGCTTATTATATTCTGCATAGGTATACAAAATAAAACTATTCATTGAAAATTCAAAAGTAATAGTATTGAAATCGATAAAGTAGATTGCCGAATAAGTATTATCGATATGAGCGCTACATCTTAGGCTCACTCTTAGGCATTAAAAACATTATGATAGTTCACCGTTCACGTGTAAAAGAGCTTATAGATAGCAAGTGCAGATGTTTAATCATTTTTAATTGTTATTATTAATTGTGCATGCTGCAGCCTACCTGTATCTGAAAGATACGTACGGAATATACAATTTCTTTACCTGATCAAAGGAATCAAAGGAATTATAAAACAAATACCGCCTTATTTAAGAGGCTAAACGTATATGCGTAACTATAACCTTAATTGGACATTTGGACGGTATTGCATCAGTTTTACAATGTACTTAAGTGAGTTATCAACTTTGTACGATTGATTGAAAAACCATTACAGAGTTACAGGCCTTTCAAAGAGTTGACTCCGAGATATAAGAGAAAAAATGTATAAGCGTTGCCTGCTGCGTTACAGAATTATCCTTGTATCGACGTAAAAAGTTTAACATTAGAAAATGTACGATTCCCAGGATAGAACTTTACCCATCGAGTACGTTCTGAATAAACATAAATTCCAAAAAATATCGATGACAGTATCAAGCATATTATTAAAACAATAGTTCATTGCACGTCTTGAAACTTTTTATAAGAAAGTCATTTCAGCAATACGTTCAAACTTCAACAAGTAAAGCACTTCAAAAATATATGCAACTTGCTATTATAACCTCTAGTAAAAAATGTAGAAAATATTGCTTCAGTTTTCATATGACTTGTGATAATCCTTAAATATTCTGAGTATGATAAAATATTTTGAGTGCAATGGTGCCTTATCTTGACTAATATCAAGTTGACACATTCTTAGATTTCGAATTTGATTTGAACGTGTTAAGCTTGTCAATAGCCTGTAGAGACAAGTATATATATATATCTTGAATTTGTGAATGAATCATTAGGACCTTTCTTCTTCGCAACTGAGTTTATCTGTTGGGTGAGCCTGGAGTATTTGTTATTGTATGCAATTATTCAACGACGTACATCCGACTCCTTGGCCTTAAGTTTCCAGTGATAGACAAATATAGCATATTCCCATAATATCAAAAAAAATTCTAAGTTCCAGTATACGAATCTCTCTATTAAGATAACAGCTTCACAACAATCCATTTGAATAAATTAGATACTTTTATAACTACAATGTATTTTGAAGTTGTTTTTTTTTTTTATGCTGGAGTATCATCATTTATTTTCAAGAAAAAACTTGTATATTAAAAAATATTATCCAGTAAGCAAAATTTGTGAATAACAAACAACTTCAACAAGTGAAGCACTTCAGAAATTTCAGTATCCTATTATTTTACTTGAAAATCTTGAAAAATTACAGAGAATATTGCAACAGATTCCATGCGACTTGTGATAATTCCTAAATATTCTGACTATTATAAAATATTTTGAGTACAATGATGTCTTATCTTGACTCATATTAGATTGAGACATTCTTAGATTTCAAATTTGATTTGAATTTGTTAAACTTGTTAGTAGCCTATGGAGACAAATAAATATATGTATATCTAGAATCTGTGAATGAAGAATTAGGACCTTTCTTTTCTTAACAGCTGGATTTATCTGTCGGGTGAGCCTGAAGCATTTGTTATTGTATACAATTACTTGACTTGAAAATCATGAAAAACCAGCTTAGGAGCAGTTGAAGACAGCTTTTATACACAGTCCAAAAAAACGGATTTTTTGTGTATCATATCAGATTGCACTTATCTGGAGATTTTAGTAGTAGTCAAGTGCTGCAAATTTTAACATTATATAAAGTAAAACAAAACATTTATAAGCCTGCTGTTGACGTGAAGGTAAAATTTGTAGATATTGTAAACTTGTGTGTGACGTTTACGCCAGTGTGTTTGTAGTACTACATAATTTTTAACGAAGATAAAGATTTGTGAAAACTATAAACCATGTGTAATTTAAAAACAATCAAATGCAGTGAGTGCAAGTTTTTATATCATGAGCTGCAAAAAAATATTTGGATTTTTAGAATTATTACAATCATGAAAACTAAAATGATATTGAAATATCACTTGGCCGTTTTAAATTTTTTCATCCGACTTACAAATACTTCTTGGTTCTTGTACGGCTTAGATTTACAAAGCATAAATTTGGATAAAATAGGTAAGATACATATATGTGTTCATATTTATTTAAAGGTTATTAATAACAATAATTTCGTACTTTAGGTATTGCATCTGATCTACGAAACTTCTTTGAGTCTTATTCAAACCCAAAAAAGCATATAAACGGACAAAAAATTGACCAATATCCTCAAGTTTTGCAAATAAATGTGGACGCATATCGGTAAGTTAAATTGTTTTTTAAACTTATTCAAAATTGGCGGTCGCAGCGCCACCAGTTACTTGATATCGGGTTAGTTTTTCAAAGTACGCTCTTTACCGCGCGGTGTAAATTGGCTTGTAGGCTTACCGCCTAATCGTCGTCATTTGCGACTAGTCACTGCGTCGAGTAGGACCTTTCGTCAAAACTTCCACTTCACCGTTCGCCCTGTACCACAGTGATTGAATTTGAGTGCCAATTCATAATCAAGACGACCAATTTACGCCTCTAAACGAGATTTTTAATACCCTTCATGTAAGTTTAACACAATTACTATGAGACATTCAATGTTTTTACAAAAAATTTCTTAACAAAATTAACTCGGGTTTTCTTCGTCCATTTTTTTGCGTTTATAACGTTGCCTTCTTTTTCTGTTCCTCTTTGTCTCTCTCATCCTCTTCCTTAATTCTCGGAAATCCCACATTGTTGTTACTTTTGTTTTTTACTTCTTCAAACGCGTACTCGCACATCTAATTACATCTCGAGATATAATATTTGTATACGTTGAAGTTCGAAGTAATAGTTTAGCGCGGTGAGTTGATCTTTGAACGGTTACACACGTTTAATGAAATTTATACATTATTTGCATGAGCATCGCCGTCTTTGCATCGAGCTGTAGCACGCGTCAACTTGCACCCGGAATTTAGTTCTCGTTTAGCTACTTCTCGTAAATTTGAAATCATCGACTCGTTCGAACTGATTCGCCTTTGTTACTCGCTCGGGTCTCAACTGCCGCGAACGTAGACATGCAGCGCGTTCGACTTGTCGTAACTGCCTATTTCGAAGACCGAAACGAGTAGGTGTACGCCGACCATCTCAATTTTTTGTATACGTTGAAGTTCGAAGTAATTGTTTAGCACGGTTAGTTGATATTTGATCGGTTACACATGTTTAATGAAATTTATACATTATTTGCATGAGCATCGCCGTCTTTGCATCGAGCTGTAACACGCGTCAACTTGCACCCGGAATTTAGTTCTCGTTTAGCTTCTTCTCGTAAATTCGAAATCATCGACTCGTTCGAACTGATTCGCCTTTGTTACTCGCTCGGGTCTCGACTGCTGCGAACGTAGACAGGCAGCGCGTTCGACTTGTCGTAACTGCCTATTTCGAAGATCGGTCTACGCCGAACATCGCTATTTTTTGTACAAGCTGAAAATATCGTAATACTTTGTCTCAACCGGCATTATAAATATTAAGCGTAGCATCTCGATTTTAAACACGCGAGCTCAACCAGCCGCCTCGTTTGGTATTTCCAACAATTTTTTAAAAATTTTAACATTTGTCATGTTTGCCCTTTGTCATGTTTAATAACTAAAAAGACGTATGAGCAGAGTAATATTAGTCCACCCATGAAAAAATTTCATTTCGATTGTTTCAGAACAATGTTTTATTGCGCATTTTGCCCTTACGTCACTAATCGTCTACAGTCTTATAAACTTCACCAAAAGAATCATAGAAACATAACTGAATTATTTTATTGCGGATATAAAAAGTGCTCAAAAACGTTTAAAGTAGAGAATTATATCATTCATCATTTACAAAGTGTTCATAATTTCGAATCGCAAGGTTTCTTTCACGCAAAAGTTAAAAATACATCTAATGATAGTGGAAAATACATTTGTACGGTTGCTTTATGCCGTAAGGAAATAGATGATCATTGTTCGTTGATTAAACATTTGAAACACCATTTGAATAAGAAGCAAGAGGTGACTTGCCCGTATCAAAATTGTAAAAAGGCTTATGAAAATTTGTCGTCTTTTACTAGTCACTTGTCACGGTATCATAAGACAGATATGGAAATTCTCGATTTTCCTATAAGTTCAAATGCGTCAAAAAATCATGATTGTATAAATTCGCTTGAAGAATCTGTTAGTACGACCTTGGACGAAAATCCTGTTGAAAATATTTATGAATCTTGCGAGACAGAACAGGCAGATTTAAGTATTGATTGTACGTCCGATAATGACGACGAATCAAATGCAATTGTTATAAATTTTGCAATATTTCTATTGAAATTAGAGTCTGAATTGATTATCCCAATATCCACGATAAACTATATAGTGAACGAAATCAATCATATAAATACTGACTGTTTGTACGCGTCGAAAAAGAAATTGCATGATTCTCTCTCATCTCAAAATATAAGTTCGGATAAAATCGATGCAATAATTCAGGATTTTTTTGATAAAGATTCGTGGAGTAAAAATGTTGAAGAATTATTAACTGACTATAAGAGAAAAAAATACTTCAAAAATAAATTTAACTATGTTCATCCACAATATTTACCCATTGATGAAAAAAAAAAGACATATTATGTTTATGTACCGATAATTGAAACTTTAAAAAATTTTTTCAAGGATAAATCACTCGGAAACGATTTTACCCTTAAAGTCGAGTCAAATAACGATGACGTTTTGCGTGATTTTACTGACGGTATTGCTTATAAAACAAACGAATTTTTTCAAACAAATCCCGAATCATTCAAAATAATTTTGTATGAAGACGCTTTTGAAGTTGTAAACCCAATTGGATATGCGAAAAAAAAATACAAACTACAAGGCATTTACATGATTCTCGGTAATGTGCCCTATTATTTACGAACACATGTAAAATCTATGAAATTAGTCGCTCTGTGCAAAGAGAAGAATTTTGATCCTAATGTCGTTTACGGAAGAATCGTACAAGATATAAAACTTATTGAGGAAAACGGACTAAAAATTGATGATAAAATAATAAAAGGCTCACTTAATTTTATATGTGGCGACAACTTGGGAAGCCATAGTTTGGGTGGATTTGTAGAAAATTTTTCTAAATCTAATTATATGTGTCGATTTTGTCCAATTTTAAGAAAAGATTTCCTAGCAGAAAATGGTCATTGTTTATTATTAGAATTGCGAACGCCAGAATCATATAACAAAGACGTTGCATTGATTGGAAAAAAAAACGATCATAAAGGCATAAAGTTTAATTCAATATTTAATCAATTAAAATATTACCATGTTTGTGCTCCTGGACTGCCACCTTGCATTGGACATGACTTATTTGAAGGTGTTATTGCTTATGACTTACTTTTAATGATTAATTATTTTGTGAATGATGTAAGCTGGTTCACTTTTGAGAAACTGAATTTGAGCATACAAAAGTTTCAATATTCCATCGAAGATGTCCGAGACAAACCTTGTATTTTAACACCCAATAGTCAACGAATACCGGGGGGAGCTTGCCAAGTATGGTCTTTTTTTCGACTTTTCGTTTTTTTAATTAAAGATTACATACAAGATGTAGACGATGAAGTATTCAAATGCTATATATTATTAAAGGAACTAGTTGATATTATATGTTCACCGGTGATTCATAAATCATATTTACCTTACTTACAACGAATCATATCGAGCTATATCTCTTCAAGAAAACTTTTATTTCCTAAGGTTCCGCTCAGACCGAAACACCATTACTTAAACCACTGTCCAGAGCTTATTTTATATTTTGGGCCGCTGATAAAAGTGTGGACTTTACGTTTCGAGAGCAAACATGGTTATTTCAAAAATATAATACGACATAGTAAAAATTTCAAAAATATTGAAAAAACGTTAAGCGAAAAACATGAACTTCTGCAATGTTACGTTCGTTTAGGTAGTGATAAGAGAATAGACATTGAATTCGTTAAAATTCAAAGCTTTGAAATTGAGTTATACAACAGTAAAATTAAAAAATCTTTAAATATATTTCCTGATTTACAAAATGTGTACCAATGTGATCAAATTATATGCAAAGGAACGGAATATAAAAAAGGATATGTTTTGCCTATAAGTCAAGAAGGCTATCGCTATAAAGTAAAATTAGGAAGAATATGTATGCTATTTAATTATAAAGATTTACCTTATATACTGTTCGAAATAATGAAAAATGATTATATACCGTTTCTTGATGCATATAAAGTTTCTATAGTTATGGATTATGAATGTATTCCATTAAATGATCTATTGTATCATAAGCCACTGTTTGTGTACAATCTGGGTGATATGCTTTGTGTTAAATTAAGTTATGCTATGATTGCCAAACCTAGTGTCAACTCCACTTTGTAACCACGTCTAATGACTTTATCATAAGCGTTGACTTTTCAATAAAAAGAATTATTAAGTTCTCTATCTAAAACTTTTGTTTAAAAATTTTATTTGAATACAATTTTAAGATAATAATTATTTTTCTTAACAATGATTGTTTATTTTCACTAGAATGGGTCGTCTTTATACAATAGAACATCCTGGAAAATCAAGAGTTATGATCAAAGCTGACAGCATTGAAGGAATAAAGTCTGCAGCGATTGAAAAATTCAAACTGTCTGGAGAAAAATCATATAAGGTAATTTAATTATAGTTTATAGTTCATTTTTTTCACAATTTCATGTTTGCTCTCAGGTATTGCCTAATATAGTTATATACTTCAATAAAATTTATATTTTTTTTTCTAGCTGTTATTAATGCCGGACCATATTGAAATGGACGATGATGAAATTTTGTTCGAATATACCATGCAACAAGGAAACACAGCAATTGTCTTTCGTGTTGTCGATGCGGAGTTTAATATTGAAAATAACTCTGAAAAAGAAAATGATGCAAAAGAAAACAACAAAAATGATGAAAATGCATTAGTTCCCATGGTGCCAAATAACGGGGATGTCCGGAATGAATTAGTTCCCAGGGTGCGAGATAACGAGGGGGCCCAAAATCCTCCCATTGTAAGCGTCAAAGAGGGTATATGGGATAAAATTCCAGGAGATATCTTAAATGATTTAAATGCAGGAAGAAATTTGAGAGATGGAGATAGAAATGTCGTTTTGTGCTTGGTCAGAGATTATATGTACTATGGTATTAAAGATTGTCGTAGGAGTAAAGCTATGGAACTTGCACAAATGTTATGCGCCAAATATCCTGCTTCATTCTCTGCCACAGTTGGCACAAGTAAGCAAACATTTGGAAACGGTTATGAAGACACATTTGATTCATTGTACAATAAGGTCATGTATAAGAAATGGTCTGATGAACAAGAAAAAAAGCGCACTCGAAATTCAAATGAATCCTCTGACTCGGAAGAAGAACAAGTGATAAAGAAAAAACAAAAAATTACAAAGTTTGACGTCTACGGTTGCGAAGAATATGCACCACCGTTACCAGAGGCAGAGACCCTTGATACTCAAGAAACAACGAGATTGCAGTTACTAGATCAATATAAATTGGAAAATACAGAAAATGTTGATGAAATGATGATGAAATGTTATCCGACTATCCGAATGAAACTGAACGAAAAACCGGATTTACTCGACATTGAAAAAGATTGGCCATTTCTACAAACTCCTGAATTCTTTTTGCAACACTGCAATAGATTACTCGGCAAAAATGTCGTCAACACCTGGACTACTTCATTACAAAAAAAATGTTCAGGAATTAATGACTTTATGAGACAATGTAAAAGTATGAAAAAAAAAGAAACTTTCAAGAAAGTCAGGAAAGAATTCAAGGCAGCTTCTGAAACTAGAAGAGATCAGATACCCACTTCAATAGGGGCAATATTATCAGTTATAATATATTTTTCGGAAGATGAGAAACTTCTTTACAAGATATTGAGTGTAAGTGAAGTTATTTCTTTAAAATATTGCTTTTCTTTGTAAATAATAATTTTTTTAATGAAATACTTTTATTTCAGAATGCAGGTGAATCCTCCGACGATTCTGATATATCGCCGTATCCTTTTCTTGAAGTACAAGGTAAAAAATTATTAAAATGTATGATTTTGCTCGTGATCAATTAACTCAAAATGAATTTTTTTTCAGGTGATTCTCTGTATGATGAATTAGCCGTGAGCACAGTAATAATTGATGGGAAGTACAAAATAAAAACTAATGACGTCGTTGAAGGTCTGCTAATAACTTTCTTGGCCTATTATGTCTATGGAATTATGTACCCCTCGGGCTTGGCTAAAACATTGGAATTTATTCAGAGGTATAAAAAACTTTTATTTGACGGTTTAAAAAATATAGTCGTTTCTAATTTATATTATTTATTTATAGATTATTCATGGATATCAATCCGACTGAAGGAAGTAAATTTCAATATAAAAAAAAGAAAAACTTCAATGCAGGCGTTCGTAAATTGTCAAATCTACTTGACGAGTTTACCGAAAATTTCACTTTGACTTAAGCTTCAGATTTATTTACAGCTCTGTCATTTTTTTTTTAAAAGTTACCAAATTTTAAAACACGTTTGAATATTTAGTTTTTTTGTCATGTTCTCATTATAAGATGAGTCTCTAATCTCTATTATCTATGTCACAATATTTCAGTTTCAAAAATAAATATACTTTTTAAAGATAAATTTTTGGATTTTAAGCTTTTTTCCTTACATATAGTTCACACCTAAGTGAATGCATATATGCTATGCTTTTTACAAAAATATAATTTTTAATAGGAATTGTTGGAATATCATCTGCAGGCTTTAAAATTCAAAATTGTATGTTTGAAATGAAAGTAATGCTAGGAATGACTGAAATCAAGGGGAATTAATAATTTCGTTAAAATATATTGATTTTAAAGTGCCTTATTGAAATGTAGCATCAAGAGATGCCTTTTAACTTCAATACTAGTAATTTTAAACAGTCACGATAAACATTAATATTACTGCATTATATTTGAAATTACATTAAAATAGGAATGATTCAAAATTAATTTTCATTCATTAAAATACCGATAAATTACATCAACTTTAAAGTTACGTACTTGAATTTTGGAAAGAGGAAGTGTCTTTTGATTTTCATGCGGGTACCTTGAAATATTTACAATGAACATAAATATTACGTTATTGAATTTGAAATTATACTTGAATGTGAATGCTTTAAAATTAATTTACATTAATCAAAATTCCGATAAATTATATGAACTTTAAAGTCATGTACTTGAATTTTGGAAAGAGGAAGTGTGCTTCAATTTTCATGCGGGTACCGTAAAATATTTAGGACAAACATAAATATTACGGCATGTATTTGAAATTATACTCAAATGTGAATGCTTTAAAATTAATTTTCATTTACCAAAATTCCGATAAAGTATATGAACTTTGAAGTCACGTACTTGAATTTTGGAAAGAGGAAGTGTGCTTTAATTTTCATGCGGGTACCGTAAAATATTTACGACAAACATAAATATTACGGTATTGTATTTGAAGTTATATTCAAATACGAATGTTTTAAAATCAATCTTCATGGCGTAATATGTCAGTAATGTGCATTAATTTTAAGGTCCTTTACTTTAATCCCAAAATCAAGATTACTGTTGTAATTTTCTAGTATATGTATGAATATTCATTCGCAGGTAGTACAATTCAAGATGTACTTGAATTCACCATTAAAGTACGTGTTTGATAAATGCTTCAATGATTTTACTTGAATTTTCATTGAGAAAATTTTTACAGTGTACATTCGGTGTATTTAATATATCTTTTTATTTTCTTTATTTTTTCTTTTCAACGGTGTAATTAATCGCGTTTTATTTTTAGTTTATACACTTTTGCGTGGCGTTATCTTTTTTGCGTCTCCGCGGTATAAATTCGATCGTGTTTAGAATCAAGCTCGGCACGCAATATATGTTGTACACAGGTCTCGATTGTGCATCGAGGTACATTACGTAATCGGAAATCGGTATGTAAAAGTGTAACGACGATTAAAGAAAAAAAAAAAAAAAAGAAAAATTCCTGTAGTACCGCGATTATATTGGCATATATGTATAATGGATTAAATTCAACTTTATATACACGATGTTCGGTTGCCGATTTTTTTCCACTCGTCGAAACATGTTCCAAGTTCGCGCTGAATATCATAAGGGAAGTATGTGTGTGTGTGTGTGTGTGTGTGTGTGTGGGACGTATGTGTATGTATGTGTTAAGGAACTTTCTCCTGTGGCGGCGGCGGCAGAGCTCCGCGCAGCGAGCAAGACATGCCTTCCGGGTGCAGTGTACACGCACAGTTTTCCATGCACCGCAGCTCGCTTCTCTCTCTCCTTTCTCTCCCTCTCTCTCTACCTCATGCTTTTAAGCGCGGCCAAAATCAACCATCACCACCACCACCAACATTAACAAAAACCACCACCACCACTGTGTTAAAAAGACCGCTCCTTTCGCTAGAGTCTCTGTGTAGTGTGTTCCGCGCCGATTTCCGCGTATAATATTGTATGTGTAAGTTGCATCGCCCTGTCTGCGCAGCGCGAGGATATTTTAGAAAGGGAAATTGCAACGAGCTCTGTGTTCAACTGCAGCACGTGTAAAAGTATAAACTCTCTTACTCTCTCTCTCTCTCTCTCTCTCTCTCTCTCTCACTCTTACTCTTGCGCGCGATATCTTTGATAGACGTTCTCAATTAAAATTCGGTGTGATCTTTTATTTATTTCATATTATTTTATTCCATTTTCTTTTCCCCGTTGTGCCTTCGTACCCACTTATCGCACTCGCAGCCATCTCGGTATGTAATTAAGCTGCAGCCTATGCTGCTGCACGCGTATATAATCTTCGCAAAAGATCCACCTTATTACCGAGTGCCATAATAAATAGACAGTCAATGGCCTGTTGGTGCAGTGGCGCGGCGCACGCAATAGCGAAAAATCAACACACACACACACACACACACACACACACACACACACACACACACACACTGTAGTATAAAAGCCTAACGATCTATCTCTCTCGCTCTCGAATGTGTCTACGACTCTGTAGCGGAGATCGCGCGACGTGCCACAAGGAGAGAGAGAAAAGTTAACGATGTTACTGCAGCGCGACGTATGTCTGCTGCTCGTTGTAATGTAGAAAGTGAAGTAACTCCGCGAGTATTAGCGCGTGTGCACTTACACGCGTTAACACGGATACATATACACAGACACAGACGTGCAGCGAGAGAGATGATCGCGATGCTGCCATGCTCGCGAATCGTATTCTATATATATATACACGAATTTTATACGATATACTTGGAGGCAATAAAATGCGCGAAAATTGCTGTTATATTGTTTTTTACCGTCGAATCAAATATGTATGTGTTTGTCTGCGAGCGATATAATTTTATTATATCGCGAGGCGCGCGCGCGTTTCGTTAATACCCGCGCCGCGATGTATAAAAAAAAAAAAGAATAATAAAATACATTTTATGTAGCGTTATAATATAGTGTATATGAGAGCTAGCTCGAGAGAGAGATAGAGATGCCTTTTGATTTTGCGAGAAACGGCGCGATATAATTGCCTTCTTTTACAACCTGTTAGTTGTTGGAAAAGCAGTAGTTGCGATTTTTCACGCGAAGAGCTGCTGCCTCGCTCGCTATATGTTCGAATAACAAATGCGGCAAAAAGCGAAAAAAAGCTGCTTCATTTTCTTACTCTTCATAGCTGCGAGCGTAAAATACTTTTTTTGAAAACCCGCGGGTTATACCGAATTCAAAAATGTTATGGAAAAATGAATGATAATTCTGAAAAATTGTACGTAATTTTGAATTGCTGATTTTAATGTTTTTCCCTCTTTTTTTGTCGTGTTTCAGGTAAGCCTTATGTTCCTTGTCACTCTCTTGATATAAGTCGACAAAAAATAGTAAGTCATGCTAGCGCTAATAATAATGAAAAAAAAAAAGACGACGAAGGAGAGCTAGAGAGAGAGAATGAAAAATGAATTCTATCTCTCTCTCCTTTTCTGCTGCGGATATCGCTTCAATGAGTCAAGAAAATACACACATACACACGCTGTATTGTTTGTAACAATTATATTTACATGTGATCACGTGGCGCCCAACTATATATAATATATACGGACGGCGCATCGCTGCTTCTTCTTCTTCTTCTTCTCGGGCGCACACGTGCATGTAGTACATAGCATACACACTGCACAAGCAGAAGACACACACATCGAGCTGTGCGGCTCTATGGTAGTGGTAATATTTTTCGCGCGTCATCTCGCGCACGTGTACCTACACGCATGCGATTTTCTGCACTGTACACTGTGCACTGCGCGGCGTACATCGCATAGTACATATGTACACACACACGCGCACACACACAAGCGAGAAAAGAACCGGTCCGTTGCAAACGGCCTCGAGGAAAAAAAAAATAGACTCGCGCGCGAGAAGGCGGAAGCTTTGTGTGTTGGCTCTCTGGCATATATATAAATATAGTACGTCTGTGTGTGTGTGTGTGTGTATATATGCACTTACGGTAAAAAAAGAATACCGATTGATTATAGCTGCTTTTCCAGTTCGCGCATATATATACATGTGCATCTATACGCGCGTGCTCGTGTATCGTACGTGGGATGGAAAATTGGCAATGCCGCGGCTCTAGCTATATTATTAGGCATTAGCAGTCGGCTAGCTAGATATAGGCTCTCTCACGCGCCGATGAGTTTGGAGTTTTTTTTTCTTCGTTTCGTCGATTTATCATAAAAATTATAACGCGATCGCGAGTTGCGGGTTTTTTTTTCTTTATCAATTTAGCCGAACGATTAAAAAATAGCGAGCGAAAGGATTTTTCAATATTAGATCAACCTAATATACATACATGAAACGCGATAATAATTAGAGTACGGTGCGTGTGTGTAATTGAACATTATATATATACCGTCGATACACACGCGTCGATTATAACTAATTCTACTGCACACACACGTATAGCGGCGATCGGTGCAGCTACTGCTGTTGCTGCTGCTGCTGCTGCTGCGGCAAGGTCTATTCGCGCATTGGCTCTATAGTAACACAACTCGACTCGCGAGTGATTATTATGCGCTTCCTCGTCACAAGAGGAGCTGAACACACATCGATATGCTAGTCAACATTATTATGTCGCTTGTAATATAGGAGGTAGTAAGCTGGTCTCGCGAGGCGTCTTTGTCGACTCGCGAATCGCCGTGCATAAATAACCGATTGATCTTATAATTCTTTTTTTTTTCTCTTCTCCTTTTTTTTCCTTTGTAACCGATCTCCGGCGCGGTGCACGCATATACTTTTGATTTTATCGTCTTGGAGAGAGAGAGAAAAATAAATATTATGTTACTCGCGCGATTCAACTCGCCCACTCCACGTGTACACAAATAAATAAATAAATAAAAAAAATTAAACAAAAATATTTACGTAAGCCTCGCGAAAAGTGGTCGCCGCGTGCATATACTACACGGGTAAATATTTCGCTTACGCACTTACATCTATCTATATCTGCGTTAACTCTCGCGTGTAAAACGGTTTAGGAGAGATTTGATTGAAAAGTAAGCTAAAACGCGAAAATTACACGACGCGCGCGGCGCAGCTGGAGAATTACTCGGGCTTCGCGAGTGTATGTATAT